CTCAGCAGGTGGCTCATACCATTTGACCTCACAGCTGGTTAGTACAGATGGTGCGAATGAAACATTCCTCAGGTAAAATAATCGTGTGAGGAGAAGGTACGACTTGATACTGACGAGAGAAACGGAATGCAAATAAGCGATGATGCCTTTTATTGGTCTTGTCACGTCGTTATTTGTCTCCAGTTTAAGAAATTAAGTCATAGAGTAGTAACACCGCCAGTTGCGTTATATTATCTTTAGGATAATCCGGAAAAAAAACGAACAACCAATAGAATCCGAAAAATAAACAAAAATAAAGCGACGAACAAAACTTAGAATCCGGAAAATACACAAAAAAGAACGAAACAAACAAGAGAATACAAAAACTTACAAAGTGAAACGAAACAAAGTAACCAAAATGTAACCAACTAGAGAAATCCGGAAACCTACTTAAAACCAAAGCCACAGCGGAGGATACGAACACTGGCTAAGATGGCGATAATATAAGTTGACGCCTGTTTGAGCTCAGATAAACAATGATGGGCTTCTCTCTCTCTCTCTCTCTCTCTCTCTCTCTCTCCGTGATCTACGCGCCAAAATTAGACACCATTAACAATGTTTTTACTATGATTATGGTTCTCCCTGTTGCTATTGGTGATAATTAGCCGTAACAGATGATTTTAGTGACAGTAATTAACCACTATCAACTTGTTGTTGGTATTAATTGGCTACTATTGTTAAGCTGTTGATAGTAATTAGTTTTCTTGCTTTGCTATTGATTGTAATTAGCAACAATAGACGATTTGAGTGGCCGAAATTAACCACGACTGACTTGCAGTTCTTAGTAATTAGCCGTTAAAGACATTGTTGGTGAGAGTAATTACCCATAATAGACCTTGAAAGTAACATACATTCCCGCTGCTGACTGTGTTGGCACTAATTACCCACTACAGACATTGATAGAAGTAATTAGTAACTACTGACGATGTTGGTGGCCTCAGCACATGTTATTAGTGACTGTAATTAGCCTAAAAAAGAAACCGATATTACTTATAGAAAGAAGGGTGATTTGTTATAAGGGTGTGTGTGTGTGTGTGTGTGTGTGTGTGTGCCTTACCTCCCTCATTTCCTGCCTCCCTCCCCCCCCCTCACGTCTTTTCTCCTTCTCTGCCTACCTTCCTCCCTCCCTCCTTCACGTCTTCTCTCTCTTCCTCTACTTTACTCTCTTTTCTACCCCCCCTTCTACCTTCCGTTCTCTCAATCCTTCCTCACTCTCAATTTCTCTTCCCTTTTCTCTCTTTCTCTCATTCTTTCAGATTACAATAGAAAGTTGTACTTAGTAGTATTCTCTCTCTCTCTCTCTCTCTGCTTTTCCTTCACTCCCCATTTCTCCTTTATTTTACGCTCTTCCTTCCATTCCATCTCTATATATCTCATTGTTTTTCGTTTTCTTACTTTCCTTTCTCTCCTTTCCCATGTCTTCTTCTATTCTCCTTCTCCTCATCTCCCCGCTCTCTCTTTATCGCTCCTCACCCTCTACACTCCTACCAACACACCGCCAAGATTCAACATACACTTTGACATTATCATCTTAACGTAATTCAATAACCTTTGTGAAAATAATCGTCTTTTAACATAATTTAATACTTTTAGTGAAAATAAAAGCCGATTTGCTATAAAAATTCGCTTATAATTCACACAGTATAATTTTTTTTAGCCATTATGTAAAATTTGTTGGTTCCTTCCCGTCTGTTGTTACGTAACGCCTCTGTAGCCGGAGGCAGTGAGTGCAGCGTTGAGCCAGGTTGACCACCATTATCCCACACCACCATCACCACTATCCCACACTACCATCACCACTATCCCACACTACCATCACCATTATCCCACACCACCATCACCACTATCCCACACTACCATCACTACTATCCCACACCCCCATCACCACTATCCCACACCCATCACCACTATCCCACACCCCCATCACCACTATCCCACACTACCATCACCACTATCCCACACTCCCATCACCACTATTCCACACCCCCATCACCACTATCCCACACTACCATCACACTATCCTACACTACTGACGTCTAATGAGCCAGATAGGTGACCACGGGGACGGGTACATGATCTCTCACTAACGAACCGTCCAACCTGAGCCATATGTGTGTGTGGGTGTGGTGGTGTGGTGGGTGAGGTGGGTGTGGTGGGTGAGGTTGACGAGTTGATGGGCCAATTGTACTGCCACGTGACCCATCCAGGAAACACCACCACTATCACCATCATCACCATCACCACCACCGCCAACACCATCACCACCACCACCGACACCAACAACATCGCGTCTCACCCATAAACCAGACTCCAATTCCACCTTCTCCTTCCCCCCACCTCCCCCCTCCCCCTGCCCTCCCCCTCCTGCCCCTCCCTCCCGACACTCCACCATCTCCCTCGTTACCAGACAAAACCAAACTCATTATCCAAATTTAACAGCAATTACTATAACGTTGTCTGTTAATGAGAGCTGGACTGCACCTCTAGCCGCCCCGATACCGTAAAATATATCCGGCACCCGTAAAGTCTATCCGGCACCGTCAACTCTATCCGGCACCGTCAAGTCTATCCTGCACCGTAAAGTCTATCCGGCACCGTAAACTTTATCCGGCACCGTAAAGTCTATCCGGCACCGTCAAGTCTATCCGGCACCGTAATGTGTGGCCGGATTAACAGTTTCATGTTCGTTTCTACTCGTATAGTTTAGGGATAAATGTTGAGGGGATTATCTTCTTAGGTTATTTATTCTCGTACAGTAAAGTTGATGTCCAATGTTTACTTATATGGATAGTCTCTCTCTCTCTCTCACCATTTCTCCCTACTTCCCTCCTCTTTCACTACCTCTCCCTCCATCTCCATCCCTCCCTCCCTCCCTTTCCTTCCCTCCCTCCTCTTACCACCTCTCCTTCCCTCACAATCTATCCCTCCCTCTCTCTCCTCTATCTCTCCCTCCCTTTTCCCCTTCTCTGTCTCTCTCCATCCCTACCTGGAACCATCGCCCGCCTGAGAGAGAGAGAGTAGGTGACCACAGGGGGACAGATAAGGTAGCTAGATGAATGACTTGCCGTTACTGGTAATTGCTGAGTCCATGGCGGCGGGAAATGACTCCTAGCTGACGTATATTTTTCTGTTTTATTCTGGGTTATGTAATGGTACTACCACAACCCTCACCACCTCCTCACCAACCACCCCACAACCACCTCCTCACCAACCACCCCACAACCACCTCCGCACCACCAACGCCTCATTGAACGTGATAAAAAATGGGACGCCATCATGTGTGAGTTAATGGCTCAGATAATAGTGGTGAACGTGACGAAAAAAAACGACTATTTATTGAGAGAAAACTATCAGTCGGGGCTTGACGAGAGGACCATTATTTTGGTGCTGGTGAAATGGTCGGTAATGAAGAACGAGCACAACAGTTAGTGGTGACGGCGGGGAGGGGAGGGGGGAGGTCCAGCACAACCTATTATATGGGGAGGAGAGATGGGGAGGATAAGATGGGGAGGATAAATGGAGAGCTATGATATAATGAAGACATAAATGACGTATAACTTACACATAAGACTCACAGATACTTAGTGACATAATGAAGCCAACACGTCTCTTTTCCTGTGCAAAATGTAATCAAAGTTATGAGTCCTTTAGAGTTAACATCCTCGCTTAAATCTAGCGAAAATAGCTATATATTGTGTTATTTTCTCTACAACAGAGAGAGGGTAAACAAAATGAAATCCAACTTACATTGAGAGTCTATTGTTCTTTGTGTTTACCCAGTTGAAAGGTAAACAAAGTGTATACGAACGAACCACTGTAAATCCGGATTCCAACTTGAGTCTGACAAAAAAAGAAAAAGTAAAATGCTGTTAGTGAGACATGACAGAAAAAGGTGGGAGTTTTTACGTCTCCTGCAAAGCTAAATGTAAACAAACTAAACGAACGAGTCACTGTAAATCCGGATTCCTCCTTGGACCTGACCAAATGGACGGTTGATAATTATGATGAATGACGGTGGGTGATGAAGACAGTTAATAATGCAGATGATGATGATGACAAATAGGACGGTCGTGAGTATACTTAAGACAGACTGTTAACAAGAAGACATTTGAGATGTGTTAAGGATCGCGGGAGTAAGATACGAGGAAGGTGACGAGTTATGGTCAGTGAACACGGTAGTAATGTATAATTTGGGGAATAACTGAAACAAAATAAGCCACAGGGTAAACTGAAACGTCTGAAATTACACTAAACTATATAAAACTCCTGAAATAATACATAATTACATATAAAACGTCTGAAATATCAAATAATTATATATAAACGTTTGAAATAACACATAATTACATGAAAAAACGTCTAAGATAACACTAAAATGTCTAACGACGTCTGAAACACGAGATCACATAATAAACATTTGGAATAATTTATATGTTTTGAAAATATCTGAGGTATTACACAGCCTACATAACATAATCTTTAACATAACACATAATTATATAAAAACCGTTTGAAATACATGTAATTGCAAAGAAAACGTCAAATATAACACAGTAAATATAAAAAGGTTGGACATAAACACATAGCTAACGGCATGAACAAAAAATTAAATAACATTGAACTACATAAGAAAAAACGCTCGAAAGAAAACACAACCAGAAAGTCTTGTGAATCCCTCTTAAGAATCCATGTATCTTTTGTCCCTCTTAAGAATCCATGTATCTTTTGTCCCTCTTATGTATCAATGTATCTTCTGTCCCTCTTAAGAACATGTATCTTTTGTCCCTGTTAAGAATCCATGTATCTTTTGTCCTCTTAAGAATCCATGTATCTTCTGTCCCTCTTAAGAATCCATGTATCTTTTGTCCCTCTTAAGAATCCATGTATCTTTTGTCCCTCTTATGTATCAATGAATGTAAGTTACTCCCTTCTTGCCCTAACACGGTCTTTTCTTTTCACAGGGAGTTGGTGAACCTCAGAGCGGCAGCATCAAGGTGGGTGTACAGTGAGTGTAGGTGTACAGTGTGGGTTTGGGTGTACACAGTGTGGTTTACATTGTGAGTGTAGGTGTACAGTGTGGGTTTGGGTGTACACAGTGTGGTTTACATTGTGAGTGTAGGTGTACAGTGTGGGTTTGGGTATACACAGTGTGGTTTACATTGTGAGTGTAGGTGTACAGTGTGGGTTTGGGTGTACACAGTGTGGTTTACATTGTGAGTGTAGGTGTACAGTGTGGGTTTGGGTGTACACAGTGTGGGTTTGGGTGTACACAGTGTGGGTTTGGGTGTACAGTGTGGGTTTGGGTGTACACAGTGTGGTTTACATTGTGAGTGTAGGTGTACAGTGTGGGTTTGGGTGTACACAGTGTGGGTGTCTGTGTTGTACCGAGAGCAGTTTGTAGATGTTCTTACACTTTCAAACAAGAGACAATATGACGCAAAATCGTTAAATGTTAATAAAAGAGAAAAGAATAAAACAATATGACGCAAAACGAATAAATGTTAACCAGAGAAGAATAAGACAATGTTAAATAATGGTACCGACCGTCAATGACCCTGAGACTGGGTTAAAGTGACCGAACTCTTCCTTGTTGTAGTCACAGGACAAGTTTACCCAACATATCACCCTCCCTCGATAGATAGATAGATAGATAGATAGATAGATAGATAGATAGATAGATAGATAGATAGATAGATAGATAGATAGATAGATAAATAACACTATGTACTTCACTATGTCAGGTTCCTCCAGTGATTGATATTTTTTTTTTTAACAAACAAAACTTTTTTTGGATTTATTGTTGAAAAAACTCGCCAAAACACACACTGTATTTGTCTATGCTACACGTGTACCTAGATATTATACCCATGGTGTGTTTAGTTGTCTGTACACACTCGTAAGTTTTCGTGGTGTTACTGGTTAAACACACACACACACACACACACACACATGTGAGGATGCACCCTTTAACCAACCAATCAAAATTGAGATTTGGTACGCGTTATGTGGTACTGTGACGTCACACGTGTCACCCTCCATGTGTTACTGTGGCGTCATGACAGGTAGGTCACCCTCCATGTGTGTTCCCTGTGTTAAGGTGGCAGGTGAGGCAGCCAGCCGTCATACGTCCATCAGGCAGGGGTCAAACTTTCACCCCGCCACACCCATCCTCACACCACCACCAACTACTACCACCACCACCACAACCACCACCACCACCACAACCACTACTACTACCACCACCACCACCACTATTACCACTGTTACCACACCCATCCTCACACCACCACCAACTACTACTACCACTACCACAACCACTACTACATACTACTACCACTGTTACACACACCACCACTACTACTACCTTACCATTTATTACCACACTGTTACACACCCATCCTCACACCACCACCAACTACTACCACCACTATTACCACCACCACCAACTACTACCACCACCACTACTACTACCACCACCACCACCACCACCACCACTATTCACCGTTACCACACCCATCCCACCACCACAACTACTTACCCACCACCACCACCACTATTACCACCACCACCACCACTATTACCACCACCACCAACTACTACCACCACTATTACCACCACCACCAACAACACCACCACCACCACAACTACTACTTACTACTACTACTACTACCACCGTTACCACAACACCACCACTACTACTTACCACCACCACCACCACAACACTACTACTACTACTACCACCGTTACCAATAATAATCACCACTACTACCACCACCACCACCACACCACTCCACCACTACTACTACTACCACCGTTACCACACACCACCACTACTACCACCACCACCACTATTACCACCCCTGCTAGTACCACCATCACTACTACCATCACCACTACTACCACAACTATTAGCACGACCATTGCCACACCCAACCTCAATCCACCACTATTACCACCCCTGCTAGTACCACCATCACTACCACAATCACTACTACCATCATCACTACTACCACTACTACTACCACTACTACTACCACTACTATCACCACCACCACCACACCCACCACCACTTACCACACCCTACCTGTTAACCCACGATATATAGGTCAGTCATTAGAATAAAAAAACACTATATATTGCTACTCTACTCCATAGGACACACCCTATAGCTGTTTACATGACACTATAACATCATTATATATTGTATATTCCATTACCACACCATATATAACACCACACAACCTCACCACACCATATATAACACCACACTACCACACCATATAACTTCACAAACACACACTCACTCACCATCAAACTCTCTCTCTCTCTCTCTCTCTCTCTCTCTCTCGTAGGTTTGCTTAATGTCTGAAGGGATGTTCTGTGAGCCGGTGAGCTGTTACACCTTAATAATCTTCTCAGAGGATCAGTGTTCCTCCCTATAGCGAAACATCGAAAATGAATTTGTTTTTGATTTTTGTTTTTTTGGTGCTGTTGGGTCTGTAACGTGTGTGTGTGTGTACAATACGTGATAGTGAAGTTATATATTGGAAAAACAATACAACAACATTCATATATGCAACACACACACATACACACACACACACACACACACACACACACGTAAATATAAAGAACTAAGTACACGTCAAGACTGTACAAAGCTCCTCAGAAGATCTAATTCTTCTCACTGACACAACCTGATTTACATACTCCGCCTTCTGCTCCGCCTCCTGCCTCCTGCTCTGCCTCCTGCTCCCCCTCCTGCCTCCTCCTCCTCCTGCCTCCTCCTCCTCTGCCCTCTTCCTCCTTCTCTGCCTTCTTCCTTCTCTGCCCTTCTCCTCCTTCTTTTCTTTCTCTGCCCTCCTTTTTCTCACCCCTCTGCCCTCTTTCTACCTGTGCTCTCCTCCTCCCCCTTCTCCAACTCCTCTTCCCCCCTCCCCTCCTCTCCTCCTCCCCTCCTTTCTCTCCCCGGCCTCTTCCTCTTCCTCCTCCCCTCTTCTCCCTCCTCCTCTTCCTCCTCCCCCTCCTCCTCCTCTTCCTCCCCGGCCTCTTCCTCTTCCTCCTCCTTCTACACAAACTTCTCCTCAAACCATAACCTATATTAACATTATGCATCGAGGTCTGTCTAGGGTCACTACGTGTACTGTATATTTAATTTATCTTTATTATTTCGTGTGTCTCCTGTCGCTGCTGGTGTGTGTGTGTGTGTGTGTGTGTGTTCTCAGTCATCTCATACGATCACAGTAATAGGTACAAACAGTGAGTTACGACCTACTATATTGTATCTCCAGGGCAAATAGTGGACGCTGGCTCCTCCTTACACGAGCTGGAGCTGCTACAGAGAGGAACCACATTGGAGTGTTTAGAGGAAATCACAGAAATATGTGTAATCTCCGAGACTAAATTGGTGTCTGTCTTTGTACTGTAGTTTATGTGAGTCTTGGGCCGGTTATCATGGTATTTACAACTTACTAAAAAAACACAACTGCCGGATCTCTTGGTATTTACAACTTACAAAACACACCTGCTGGATCTTATGATATTTACAACAGCAAAGATTCAAGACTCAAAATATTTCCCTCACTCTCTATAAAAACTACCGCAAAGAAAAAAAAACTCCCATATTTCTTCGTTTATCCGGAATTCAATTAACCGGACAATTGGGCCTCAGAACTTCAGATGTTGTATTATTTATGGCGTGTAAAGATGCTGTTTGTCTCTACTTCAACAATTGGTGTCATTCCTTCAAGTGTTCCATTTTCTATCCAGCGAAATTATGGTCCAGAAGTTCCCACCATTTCGTGCTTTAAATTTACGCCTTTATAGTGACGCTTGAACACACACACACACACACACACAGCTGTCTGGCTCAAGGGCCGGTTAACATGGTGTCCAGATTGTCTCAAGACTCTACTGTAATGAGATGTTTTATAGTAGGTTTTGTTATGGTAATTTTTTCATCTTATGTCTTTGAGAATTCAGAGGCTGATGAGTGAAGTGAATGTAGTTGAGGTGTGCTTTCTTTTCTTCCTTGTTCTGTCTGTCTGTCTGTCTGTCTGTCTGCCTAACTGTGGACTTTTTTCACAACTTTATACACACACACACACACACACACACACACACACACAGAAACACACACACACACAGAAACACACTCTCTCTCTCTCTCTATCAATCTTTCTCCATCTCTCTCTTTCCCCGACCAGTCTCACACATAAATCCTGGTAGCTGCCACCCCGCTGATGAAGTTTATATCAATTTACTTCCTATCATGAAATATACAACACTTCCGGCCCCACCTGGTGACTCACATACACACACACACGCACACACACACACACACACACACACACACACACACACACACACACACACACACACACACACACACACACACACACAGGGGTCACCTCGCCTCACTAGTCACTAAAGGACCTGCCCTCCACCAACAGTGCGGCACCACCCAGACCTCCCACACCTACCATACTCCCTCGCTGGTCCCCGCCGGAGATAATGTTGGAAAGTTGTCTGTTCTAAATACAAGGATCTGAGACCATGACTTATTGACCCAGGCAGCGGAAGTTTGTCAATAATAAAATAAAAGTAATATAAATCAATATTTATCGAGTAGTATTGAGGCTTGTGTTATATTATTATACCACACACACACACACACACACCACTTATTATAGGGACATATACTCATAACAGCAAAACAAGGTTCCATAAAACTGTTGATTGTAACTCATCTCTCTCTCTCGTAATGATATGCCACGCGTCACCCTGAGTTACGATAGTGTGTGTATATACCTGTACATCACCGCCACTTATCCACTCCAGAATACAACGACCCCCAAGGCTGTTGTAAACGTCTGTGTGGGAGATACTTAATAATTTTTCACAGCCAACTGGAGAGAATGTAAATCGTAAGTCGTAAAGGAACAGATGTTATAGGTTGAGATTCCTCCTGTCGTGTTTATCCATCTCTGGGGGA